AACAAAAACAAAAACAAAAACAAAAATTTGTTGAGAGCATGTGTAAAAAACTGCATTTGCATGATAGGTGGCATTATGTCAATCCAGTAGGTAGAAAAAGAAGCTTGTTTCTAACTTGGTCTGAGAATATCTCTCTAATTGAGTTGAACAGTCTTAATTTTTGCATTGAGGTGAAGTTTAAATTCAAAAACTCACCGGATTTTTATTGGGATATATTTGTCTATGCTAGCACTGAGTCTGAGATCAGGGCTAGACAATGGGAGCTCCTTATCAGACACAATATTGGTTGGGGAAATATGTGGTTTCTTTGTGGAGATTTTAATGATATTCTCTGACATTCTGAAAAAAGGGGGGTCTCAAGAGAGAGGAGTCTAGTTTCAACAGTTTTAGACATTTTGTTAGAACATTAGATGGAGTGGAGCCCAACTCTGGTGGGTATTCTTTCACATGGTCTAACAATAGAAGTGTGGATCAGTTCATAGAAGAGAGACTGGATAGATTCCTTCTTTCTCCCTCTTGGCTTATAAGTTTTCCTAACTCTCTTGTTCAGCACTACACACTGATATCTTCAGATCACTGTATGTTGTTAATGGATTGTTCCTCTAGCTTAGTGAATTACAAAACAAAAAAAAAAAAAAAAATTATGTTTGATGCTACTTGGGTTCATGCTGAGGATTTTAATTCTGTTGTTGAATCTACTTGGAATATTTCTGTATCTGGTCATGCTTTATTCAGTATCCAGGATAGATTGAGACATGTGAGAATGAGTTTATTGAAGTGGAATCAGGCTAGGAAGTTCAATGCTAGACAGATGATTGATAATTGTAAATCTAAGCTGAACTCCCTTAGGGAGTTGGGGGGAGGGGGATAGAAATTGGGGAGAGTGGGTTACTTGTAAAAGTGAATTGAATCTTGCTTATAAATGTGAGGAGAGATTCTGGAAACATAAGGCTAGGATTCATTGGCTTAGAGAGGGAAATCATAACTCTAAATTCTTTCATGCTTGTGTCACTCAGAGAAGAAAGAACAACAATCTTAAGCATATTCTGAAATCAGATGGGTCTTGTTGTCTTAATTCTCAGGAGACTCTTGATGAGTTGTTATTCTATGTTGATGAGATTTTTAAATCCTTTAATCCCTTGGACGAGTCATGTAATCTGTATGGTATTCCTAGAACTATAACTGATGAGATCAATGCTGAATTAGTTAAAAAAAGTTGAGGAAAAAGAAATAGAATCTGCTGTGTTTGATATGCATCATGACAAAGCTCCTGGAGCTGATGGTTTTACTGCTCTCTTTTTTCAAAAAACTTGGCCAGTTATAAGATTTCAGATTTGCCTTGCTGTGGATAATTTCTTTGCTTGTGGGAAAATGCCTAGGGGTCTCAATCATACAGTTATCACATTGATTCCTAAAAAGCAGAATCCTACTAGAGTGGCTGATTTTAGACCTATTAGTTTATGTTCTGTGGTTTACAAGGTTATTGCTAAGGTCATAGCTAATAGGTTAAAACCACTTCTTTCTTTATGCATCTCTGTTGCTCAATCTGCTTTTGTTCCTGGTAGACAAATTCTGGATAATGTGATAATTGCTAATGAGTGCATTCATTACTTAAACAGCAAAAGAAAAGGCAAACAATGCTATATGGCTTTAAAGTTAGATATGGCCAAGGCCTATGACAGAGTTGAATGGTCCTTCATTGCTAGAATCTGCAGACAAATGGGTTTCTGTGATACTTTTGTTTCTTGGGTGCTTGCTTGTGTCTGCTCTACCTCTTACTCTTTTA